CAGAGAAGGCCGGCTTCCTGGGTCTTAAAGTGCCCACCTCTTGGGGTGTTATCCCCTTCAAGGTATTTCAGCCTTTTGCAGAAGTGAGCAGAGCATTCACAGATTAGGCTTTCTATACTTTTTGTTGCGGGTTTGCAAGATCTGCAGTGGTCGTTATCTGATTTGCTTATTGTTTTTAGGTACTATTTCACCTGGCAATGCCTAACTTTCTAATGTCTTTTCTGATCGTGCGAAGTTCTTCAGATCACGTATGACCTTTATCATGTTCATTTCTTCGGAGACGTGGCTTTTCATTAGTCTACAAAAAGGCTCTGGGTCTTGAAAAGATGTTAAAGCGCCTTGTTTTGTGAGACGGTTCGCCTTCTCGTTGCCCTCTATGCCGTGGTATCCTGGTACCCACATCAGGGTTACTTTATACCTCCCAGCCGGATCCAGCCAGTTGCTTAAGAATATTTTCACCCTCACAAATTAGCTGAGAATTGCACTTGATGGCTCCTAGAGCATTTAGAGCCGCTTGACTGTGGGACAGTATGCAAATGTGCTCTCTTAAAAGCCCCTTTTAAGATACTCTTTGGCACAGATGTTTATGGCCAGTACCTCAGCTTGAATTTTGTGGGCGTTTACCGATTGCTCAGGAGAGTTTTTTTTATTCCCAGACCGACTCCTTTCGTTGGCTTCGAACCATCTTTGTGACTGTGTACCACAATCTGCCCTATGAATAAAAAAGAGCAATTGCTTTTTCTCGCAAAATCTGAAGCAAATGCTTCATCCAGTATGAATAAAAATTCAAGCAAAACCTCATACTTAAAATTCGGAAGCAAATGCTCCAGGAAAAAGTAAATACTCTTTTTCTTATGAATAAAAAAGAGTATTTGCTTCAAATTGGGAGCATTTACTCCTTGCAAAATGCATCTGCTCCAGAGCAGATGTATGTTTACTATTTTGGTAAATTATTTCCGAATATTCTTATTTCCCTTTTTTTTGTAGATTGTAGATTGCATTAGCAGTCGTTATAGCTTGTTCCAGCTGCTCTAGTGTTCAAGATTTGTAGGCTCCTTCCAAAGGAGGCCAGCTTCCTGGGTGGTAAAGTACCCACCTCTTGGGGTGTGAGCAAGGTATTTCAGCCTTTTGCAGAAATGACCAGGGCATTCACAGATTAAGTGTTCTGTAGTTTTCAATGCTTGTTCGCAAGATCTGCAGTAATCGTAAACTGATTTGCCTATTGTTTTAAGGTGATTTCACCAGAAACTGCCCAGTGAGCAGTCGACCAACGACTCCTCTAATGTCTCTTCTGTTTATTGTCAAGAATCTGTTCAGATCTCAGATATATGAACCTTCTTCATCTGTTGATTTCTTTGAAGACATGGCTTTTCATTAGTACACAGAAAGCCACTGGGCCTTGAGAAGGTGTTAAAGCGCCTTGCTTTGAGAGACAGCCCGCCTCCTCGTTGCCCTCTTCACTTTATTCCTAAGCTAAGTGTTTAAGGATATTTTTACCCTCCCAAACTAGCTGAAAATTGCACTTGATTGGGTTCTAGAACCTTTAGACCCGTTTGACTGTCGGACAGTATGTAAATGTGCTCTATTAAAAGGACTCGACAGATGCTTATGGCCAGAACCTCAGTTTGAAATTTTGTGGACGTTCTGCCCATTGCTATTGAGAGTTTCAACTTTAATGTTTGGTCCAGTTATTCCAAGACCGACTCCTTCCGTTACCTTCGAACCATCTGTGTGACTGTGTACCACCAATCAACGATTCCATAATGATGCGTTGTCCGCTTGCGGTGGCTTTGCGTTCTTCCATGATTAGCGTTTTTTTACTACCACTTCCTATGGATCCATTGATATTATCGTTCTGGTGGTTTAATTTGGCATTCAAGTCTTGGATTCAAGCAACAGGTACAACAAGTAATATCTTTCACTTCATTTCTTTGAAGCATATGCTCGCAAGTAAAAGGTCTTCATTGAATGAAAAAAACTACACACAAGGTGACTCCGGACAAAGTACCCGGGCTACCTTTCGGAACCGTTTATTGGTTTATTTTGAATAATGCCCCAGTGCTAGGGACTGTATTTTGTTGTTAATTAATATTTTAATTGATAAATTGGCCAGAGGTCACTGACCTGACCCAATAGTAAACAAAAATCATCATGACAAATAAAAATCCCTTTTATCGTATTCGTACTTTATACTGCGTCGGATTAGTTCTTTCTTTGTCTGGTTCGTATTTAGACAAGAAAACAAAATTGTGTAAACTAGTAAACTAGTATTGGTCTCGTTCTATTTTTCATGTCAAAACTAGAGCTGTACCAAAGTCGATCCACAAAGCGATTTTGATATGTCTATGCGTCCTTTTTTGTTCGATGTGTTAAAAAAGAAAAAAGAAAATATTCGTTTGGAACATGAAAATTTGGCAAACAGTGAGTTTTGATTGGTGGAAAAATATGGCGCAGAATTCAAATAATCGGCTTTTTTTTCTTTCAATTTCTGCCTTCAAGATTTAAAAAAAAAATAACCAACCATACTGTTATGTAGTATATAAAATACACTTTCGTTACAGATAAATTATATACCTAATTTTGATTGAGTGCAAGAGGTCCATTATAATTAATATAATAAACATTAAAAAATAAAACAATTTGGAAATACTTTTATTTCGGACGGGAAAAAAAGTTAATTCTCTGTATCTTTTGATAGGTGCACAAATTACTTTTCCTTTAAGTATTTATATTAAAAGCCAGGGGGGGGGCAGATGCCCCCCCCTCCGGGCGCCCATGGATTACAATAACGAGTGTGAAAGATTAGAACAACGAGGTCGTAGACCTCGTCGTTCTAATCACACGAGTTTTGTAGTCATGTTTAAACGCACGTGTGATGTACAACGTTTTATCTACAAAGCGAAAAATAGGAATGTTTTTTCAATCATTTTCGTTTAGTAGTCGTTGCCTACCTTCATTTTACCTTTACAGGTTTAACTTTGACATTTGTTAAATCACTAAAAATAGTTGTGTTATGAATTCATAACCTAGTCCATAACACCACTAGTTGTGTTATGAACTCATAACCTAGTCTATAACACCACTAGTTGTGTTATGAGATGAGTCTCATGACATAATTCAAATACTAGAAAATGGTTATGTAAAAACGTCATAATCAAACGCTTGTAGATAAACATATTAACTTATATTTAATTGCAAAAAGGTTATTCTAACATAAAATTATTTGTCGAAGAGTGGCGAGGAATTGGAGGAAATTCCGAGGAGTTGCAAGGAATTGTAAGTTATTGCAGGGAATTGCCAGGCATTGTGTGGAATTTACCGGGAATTGTGTGGAATTATAAGGAATTGCACGGAATTTCAAGGAAATTCCATTTAGAGGAATTTCAGTGTACAAAATTTTATGGGTGACTTCTCCCTTGTCAAAATCTTAAATGGCACTATAGGTCACGTGATACCTTGTTTGAAAAGTTTTTTAATTCTCTAAGCGAATCTGCAAAAAAAAATTATTTAGATACAAATTTAAATTGTCACAAAATGGCGCATGATTCGAGTTGACAACTTAGCTCTCTTGAGGAGGTGAACACTGTCAGATACAGTGAAGGGAGAGGGGTTCAAAAAAATAAAATCTTGATGATTTCTTCAAAAATATTCATGCTGTTATTGAATTTGTATAAAATCGATTTTAAATCACATTTACCTGTTCCACCCGATCAAATGAGGTTTTCATTAAAATGAGTCACATTCAAATCTGATAATTTTTTTTTTTTTGGAGATCCATTATAGTTATTAATGATACAAGTTCGATATGAACGCCATAATGAAACGCGTGTAACGTTAAACCACGAGGCGTTAGCCGAGTGGTTTAGTTACACAAGTTTCATTAATAAAGTTCATATCGAACGTGTATCATTCAAAATTTAATCTACAATGGTTCAAATAGATTTGATTTGCCTTGAAATAGCAAAAACTTTTCAAATTAAAATTTGAAATTTAGCAGGTGCCCATACAAGTCGAGAACCTGCTTGTTGGTTTTTAGAATTTTGACTTTGGCAGCTTCAATATTGGAGTCCATTTTTGTGCCATAAATTCAATTTTATGGTGGAAAATAATATTATTATTGGTGAATCTGAGTTCGAAAGTGTCTCTTCGTATATAGAGACAGCATTATTGAAAAGGTTCTTCTGGCAACTAACTTTCTTTTTGTATATTTTTCATTTCAAAATTTGGGTGTTATTATGAATTCTTAAACGCACTAGTGCTATTATGAAGGACCTAATGACATTCAAATGACAATGCTAAATGTGTCATAATGACACCGACGTAGATTAAGAGAATTAAAAGACCTTTAAAACAAGGTATCACATGACCCATAGTGCCATTTAAGATTTTGAGGTTAGGGTAGCTGCGGCCGGAGGGGTGATTCAGGGAGACCTGAAAAGTACCTTATTTTGGTTCCCCCTCCCAACCCTCCAAACGGGTTTTTCATTTTGTAATCACCCCCTGTACTCCCCCCGTAAATCCGCCCTTGGAACAAACCAGCACCAACGGACATAAACGAAATCAATAACAATATAGTATTGAACAGGCACAAAACATTTGTCCAAGAACCGAAAAAGGAAAAAGTATAGAAATTAAATCAAATTTCAATATCGCCTAAAACAAGTATACGTTATTAAGGTCACATATTTGAGAGTGGTACAATCAAACCTGATGATAAAAGAGTAAAAGCTATTTCAAATTATGATATTCCAACTGATAGAACTGTTTTACAAAGATTTCTAGGTCTAGTAAATTATTCAAGAAATTTTATACTGAATTTAGCTGAATTATGTACGTGAATTGTAGAAGAAAAATGTTTATTATGAATGGCTTGACTCATGGATTGGAAGCAGTAACTAGACTATTGTCAACACAAAACATTGCAACAAAATCAAGTTGTCTATATCTAAATTTGCCTTTATTGCTATTATAGTAACTCATCATCAATATTTCGTTTTCAGGTCCCAGATTATACAAGCAACCGGCGACCAAATCGAACCGGAGTATAATGTTGAACGCGGTCGAGTACTGCGTGTTCCCGGGCGTGGTCAATCGCGAAGCGAAAAAGCGAGTGCTGGAAGAAATCAACCGTTCCGAAAGCAAACACTTCCTCATTCTGTTCCGAGACGCTGGCTGTCAGTTCAGAGCTCTCTATTCGTATTGTCCCGATACCGAAGAGGTCACGAAACTTTACGGTACTGGCCCGAAACTGGTCAATGACAAGATGTTTGATAAGTTTTTCAAGTAAGTATATAAATGTATTTTCAATATCCTTCAAAAATGGCCCTCGTAACTTTAACTTTTCCCGAGATAGCAATAATATTCCTATGAAATAATTGGGACCCTGTATACATATAACAACAAGCAGTGTATCCTAGCGGTTGCAATAAGGATTTAGCTAGAAATCCAACTATAGTAGTTTATTTTTGGGTCCATATAGAGAAGCAGTTGGATGTCTTATACTTGCTGCCATTGTTCCAAGGCCAGATATTGTTTATGCAGTTGGAGTTGTGAGCAAATTTTTGAATAATCCAACTAATGCACAATAGAATGCTATGAAAAGAATCTGAAACAACAGGTATCCGCTTTTTTGCAAACATGCAGCTATTTTAAAATTAACGACGAGGAGCAGCTAACGATATTAGTTCTTATGCCATGGAAATGTTTTTGAAGGGATCTGATGACTGGAGACATATAAAGCGCAAGCTAATTGAACACTTTGGACAAAGTATTCTTATCTCTGGAAGTGAGGGCCTAACAGATATAGTGACACTGCGTAAAAGTGCTGATGATATTCTCAAACAGTATTATAGAAAGGATAAAGCTGTCGATGTCGAGCTGACATTAAGTCTGCACATACAACTAGCAGTGACATATACCCTAGAAGTGAAAACCTTCTTCCAAACTTCTGCTTTCAAAGACTTTTTTCTTGGTAAGAATATAAATCTGAAAATAGCCTCAATTGTGGAAAAGATGAAGGTGCAGGAAGTATTTTCGTATAAAATGAAACGAAATGACAAGGAAAAAACAATTTCTCCTGTATCATTCATTAGGTTCAAGAACAAGGAAGCCACTATTGACCCAGCTCTGTTATTTCAGCGATTGATTGTCATTTTCTTCCAGTAAAACTGATCTTGCAGAAGTAATGAAATATGAACTGTGCTCCTTTCCACCGGCGTTATTCGAAAGTCCAACAGTATTGTTGAAAGCATATAAGCAGATCAAGGGCATTGATTGCGCATGTTACTTCAAATAATTCTCAGATATTTGCAGCAGCGGGAGAAGGTAAATCAAGTTATGGGCTCGATGGAGGGTCCTTGATTTAAATTGAATTGAATATCAAAAATGTGAAATTTTGCACGCGTTCAGCTTTTTTCAAATGAGATGCGCAATATTTGGTTCTATATTCTTGAAGAGCACAATTTCCCGATTCCAAAACTATATAGTTTGTCTATATTTGGTTGAGCCGTCTCCAACATATTTGATTCTAAAAATTTTAAAAATACTATCAGAGAAACCAAGTACCTCAAATTTTACCTGCAGCTTTCACGTATACAGGTAGAATGGTTCATAGAATCAGTAGTAAGATAGTATTTTTACAGTTTTTGGAGCCAAATATATGAGAGATTGCTCAATCAAATATAGATCAATCGGGGCATTGTGCTCTCCAAGAACATGGAATCAAATTTAGGGCATCCCATTTGAAAAAAGCTGGAAGCATGCAACATTTCACATTTCTAACATTCAAATTTTGTTTCTGACCATGGTTTCTAAAAATTCAGCCAATACTGTACAACTTTTGTATTTACTCTTTTCTTCTCTCTGTAAAGGTAAAGGCTGTAGGTGGGGTGTCAATATATAAAAAAACACGCTGTAGGTACAAATAAAGATTATTGCGGAACTTATTGGTGGACCTCTGCGGGACGAGCGCAGCGAGTTCCGCAGCCATCTACTCACCAATATACTGTTGAACTATCCAAATAAGACACTCACCTGAAACGTGTAGTTTTTGAACTAATGAGCATAACTGACATTTGAGTGAGTCGAGTTAGTATCGTACTTGAACAACATATTAATGAATAAATGACTGCGGAATTTCCACTCATAAGTGTCGCAACAATCTACTCGTTTGTACTTGAATAACTTGTCACATTATGTTACTAGTTTGGTAAAGCAACATTACTAATTCCTGTTAAGAGGCAATTTGACAAAAAGTGGATATAGTTATTGTTCAAGTACGAATAATAGTACACGTAAATTAAATATTGTATAAATATGGAATAGGAGAAATAATTTATAAAGTGTTCATATTACGCATACATTTCTCTAATGGGGTCAGGAACAAAACCCTACAAAGTTCCCAATTTTACAGTGTCCGCAGCATTCCTTATTTTGCAAAAAACCACCCCCGGATGGTACATTTTGCCGGTTTTTCTCAATTTCCTCGTAAACTGTTGTTCGAACGTAAAAAATGCATGGAATCAAAAATGTTCGCCATTAAAACTGTTCTATAAAAATGTTGGCTAATCCTTACTGAATTTTCGCAAAATACGTTTAAAGTTAAGGATAGTTTCTAGCAGGCCGTTAAAATATGCCAAGTTCTGGCGAACACCAGCGGAGAGGTGGGGAGGCGACACAAACTTACGGAATGCAATACGGTGAATTATTTACAGATTTTACTAGTTTTTTTTTACTCGTAGATCGTGTAAAAAGGCGGAACATTTTGAATTTCGTTCAGTTGCTCTCGTAATTACAGATTTTCGTAGTAAAATAAAGTGATAATTTTTTTTAAAATGGACTCATCAGGTGATTATTTCTCACATACGAAAAGTCGCTTAAAAGTAGTGAAATAGTGTGTGTGAAAAAAGGCATTGCAAACTTAATAGCTGTGAGCAAAGCTCAGAAAGATGACAAGCAAAAGCAGCTCAATGACGTTACGACTATTACTGTGCACAAACTTTGCAGGCGAGAATATACATATAAAAGAAAGAAATATTCAAAGTTTTCTTGAAAAAGGCGCAGGCAGCAGCCGAAAGTGGTGAAAAGGACTTAAGATCAATTGAGCAATTTGATTTCAAAAGTAATTGTCTATTTTGTGCTAAGAAATGTGACGTACTTGCTGAAAAAAAGAAGAGAGCTAATATACGTGAGGCAATGTTTGAAGTTCGTTCGCTTACAGTCAGGAATAAAATTTTACAAGGATGCTTGGATATAATTGACGAATTAGCAGAATTACGCAAATATTATTCGAGAGGATATTCGGACTACTGTTCACGATACAACCGAATCAGACTTGTCAAATTTTACAGACGAAACTGAACATCTTGTGCCAGAGGCTTTAAGTGCGCTTTTGAACACAATAATTGTGAAAGACAAAAGGGATAAAACAGATGGTGTTGAGAAGAAATGTACAGCTATTGCTCACTCGATCATATCGGCTACCAGGCCGCGTTCTTTTTCATCTCCTATATTGCTTGGACTTGCTGTGTACTTATTTCGCAAAGTTGCTCCACGAAACATAGTGCAAGCCGTTTCACATTTAGGTTTTTGTTCCAGTCATAGCGATGTTTCACAGTTTGAACACTCTGGAATCCCGATATTAATGAGAAATCTTTTTTTCAATTCGCGTTCAATAACGCTGACTTCAATATAAACACCATAACTGGTGAAGACACTTCCCATGCAATGGGTGGGATACATTGCATCACTCCGCACGATGCCATAAGTAATCAAGGAATCATTAAATTGCTAACTGTTCCATCCATCTTCCAAGGAAATTGCCAGTTGTAGAAAAATAGATTTACAAACTTACCACAAATCTAAAAGTGGAATTGAACAAATTTTAATAAAAAACGTGTACACTAAGGCTGCTTTTGATAAGGCTGCGACACTTTCAGGTCAGGATTTTGTATAGATGTATGGAAAAGTCCTACAGTTGCCCTATTTTCCATCTTGGCAAGGCTTTATGGATGCTATACCGTGTACCTTACCCTTACCCTATACAAAATCACAAGTTCTTGCCCTACCTTTCCTCAATCATTCTCCTACCGATTTAAGTACGATATATTGTGTTTTAAATTTTGCCGCAGAAACAACCAGTAAACTAGGCCAAAAAACATGTACCGTCACGTTTGATCAGCCGCTTTACCTTAACGCTTTCGCTGCTCAAGACGAGTATTCTCGCTAGTCGTTTCACTGCTCCAGACGAGAATACTCGCATTTCAAAATAAAATAGGATCTGACTGCTCCAGCCGTGAAAAATAGCAGAATCGTATTTTGTAGGGTGGCGGCGAGCTGGCGACGTTGTTTTTCGTGGAAATTGTCTACGGCGCGTCGACAACGAGCTAGTACATGTATGTGAAAAAAAAACAAATAAATATGTTCAACTTGAATAAAATATTATTTGAATAAACTATTTACTATCATAAAACATTGTTTCATTGACATAAGCTATTTTTTTTCTCCGGAAATTGCATATCCCATTGGACTATACTGCTCCAGACGAATATATTCGCAAACGCCAGAAAAAATGTGCACTGCACGAGGAACGGCTCTCGGCCTATGCGCAGCGAAAGGGTTAAAGCAAAAGACATAATTGCTGTAGAAATCGACAATGGAAAAGTGTCGAATGTTGTTTTGAGATTAGGAGGGTTTTATTTATTAATGTCGTACCTCTTATCAATTGGGTACATCATGGCCAACAGTGGACTTTCGGAATAGACCTATCTATTTTACCAGACAAAGAGGTAATAATACGAAAACTTCATTAGATAAAAAAGACACAGAACTCTCATTGCGCAAGACGAGGCAAAACGTACGAAATTATGTTGGACTTACGTATAGCAATCCATCCTTCTATTTGGAAGGGATAAAAGGAGAAGGAGAAAGATCGTGTGTTGTGCAACGTATTTGTCAATGAAAATTTTAAACATCTTTTGAATGTCACTTGTCAAGCTTTGTCAAGTTGAATATCAACCGTACTTTTATTCTTGTCAGACCACGAGTAATGAACAAGGACAATGGGATGTCCAGCGTGCAAAACGAACACCTCACACCTGTAATAGCTAACCAATGAAAATGCATTGGGTGTTGCGCGCCCATACCAGGTAAAAATAGATAGGTCTATTGTGGGCAACAGTATTTGCATTAGCATCAATACCCCATATGCTTTCTGGACAT